TGCACAATCAAATCAGCAGACCTGATATGGTAATTAAAGAAGCTTGGTATCCTGGAGACCTAGAAACTCATGGCCAAAAAGAGGCCGTTCCCTGTCATCGGCTCCTTATTATCCACAATGTCCATTTCTAGACTGGGCTGTAGAAAAGGGGTCCCCTCTGCCGCCCAAACTTCTCTGATTCTAAAGTGCTGCAAACAAACACAAGGAAATGGGGTCAGCTGGGTCAGGCGAGAGTTAGCATAGGTTGAATGCTAACCAGCAGGCATGCAACATCTAGTGAGAACCTTTCCCTGTGCGGTCTTCTCCCGTAGATCAAGTACAAACTGGCAAAAACATAAACAAACAAACAAAAAAAACAGCAAGAAGGGAAACCCCCCGAATATCCTGACAGTTACTCATCCATTTGCCAGTCAAGACTACTGCCAGGACCTGGAGACATGATTCAATGGGCTGGAGCAATGGGGTGGGGGTGGGGCTAGTTTTGGTCCCTGGTATCCCAGGGTCTCCAGAGCATTGTGGGGAGGGACTCCCAAACCCAGAGCCAGGAGTAGCCTCTTAGCACTGCCAACTGTGGCCAATAAAATCCCACCCCCACTCCCGCCCCCTACCTCTCCCCAAACCCCCAAACACTGTAAAACAGTGCATAAAAAACTAGTTTGTTGTTGTTTTAGAGGTTACTTCATAAATATTTGAAAGATTCTGAATTCCTAGATAGGAATAATTTCTAATTTCTGGCTTGGAATTTGTCGAGAGTTGTTGCCAAATCCAACTTGGATTGGTGGCTTCCAAATTTTGAATCTGAAAGGACTAGATGTTTTTTCAATGTCAGGTCTCTCTACTAAAGCATCCACTTAATAAATATAATAAATAGTTCTGAAATGTAGCACTGTAGCACTGTCCTCCCATTGTTCATTGATTTGCTTGAGCGGGCACCAGTAAAGTCTCCCTTGTGAGACTTGGTGTTACTGTTTTTGGCATATCGACTATGCCACAGGGAGCTTGCCAGGCTCTGCTGTGCAAGTGGGATACGCTTGGTAGCTTACCAGGCTCTCCGAGAGGGACTGAGGAATCGAACCAGGGTCAGTAGTGTGTAAGGCAAATGCCCTACCCGCTGTGCTATCGCTCCAGTCCAAAGAGTTCTGAAATAAAGGAATAAATAGAAGAATAAATGAGCCATCAACTTCTTAATGACAGTGATGGACAAATTCACTTCCAAAAGATTTTTTGGTCTTTCATGGTTAACAGGAGATGGTTGTGATTCTTTCACATGCAGCTAAATGGCTTAAATGTAAGCTATATATGAAGAAAGGGGCTCTCCAACTAAATCAAGGGTGATTATTTGTTTTATAATTAAAAATATACTTTAAAGGAGAGGCTTTTTCAATGCTCTTGTAAGATCATTATCACTCATATGGCTAAATCAATTTAAAGAACTGTCTTTAAAAATTAACTTTCCTTGGTTATGGGGCTTAAATCGTTTTTCTTTAGTAAGATGATGGGGGCTATGTGATAGTTATTCCTTTTCTGCTTGTTTCTTTCTCGTGTTCCTGGTGGTGCTAAGGGCTTACTCCTAGCTCTGCACTCAGGGATCAGTCTTGGTGGGGACAATATAGGATGCTGGGGATTAGAACAAAGCATGCACCCTATCCCTTGTACTGTCTCTCCTGGCCCCCACTAGTTATTCCACTTTAGTACTTCTGTCTGACAACATTAAGATGCCAGCTTTATATTGGTGCTCAAGGTTTTTAAAAATTCTTTTGATTGTTTTTTGTTTTGGGGCCACACCTGGCGATGCTCAGGGATTATTACTGGTGATTCTCCGGAGATCATCTGTGATGTTGGGGATAGATCATATGGGATGCCGCATGCAAGGCAAGCATCCTATCCCTTGTATTGCGTTGGCCCCTGCCCTAGCATTTAAAAAATACTTTGTGTGTGAAATCAGAAGTGCTGGATACTGGCTTAGTTTTGAAATAAGATTCATTTTATAAAAGAATATTAGTATTTTCTAGGGCTGGAGCGATAGCACAGCGGGTAGGGCGTACGCCTTACAAGCGGCCAACATGGCCGACCCGAGTTCGATTCCTCCGCCCCTCTCGGAGAGCCCGGCGAGCTACCGAGAGTATTCGATACGCCAGACACAGTAACAACAAAGTCTCCAATGGAGATGTTACTGGGCCCGCTCGAGCAAATCGACGATCAACGGGAGGGCCTTTTAGTATTTTCTAGAAGCTACCTATTGCATAAAGGAAGACGATGACCTTAAGTAATCAACATAGTATTGGTCTACAGTTACCTGGTAGTCACTCTGTGCTGACTATTGTTCTCAGGACTTTAAAAATATATTAAATAAAGGGTGGGATGGGGGGGGGATGGGGGATGGGAGGGATACTGGGATCCGTGGTGGTGGGAAATGGGCACTGGTGGAGGGATGGGTATTTGATTATTGTGTAATTGAAAAACACAAAAAATTGTAAGTCTACAACTGTACCTCATGATGTCTCATTAATAATAAATAAATATATATATATTAAATAGTCTAAATTTCATAGTAGTCCAAGGTGGAAACTATTATTCTCACCTCCACTTTACAGATAGGGAACTCCAAGCACTGACAATTGAAACCTTGCTCCATAAGATATATGATACAGTCAGTAAAGTGTAGAACTGGCATTTAAACCAATGACTCCAGAGCCTATATTCCTTTTTTCTCTTAATACAAAGCCTTTTTTAAATTTTTAAATCTTATAATCACATGATACAAGTTTATTAATATTTTCATAATTGGAGAAAGTATAAAAAGTCCTTAAATATATATATATATATTTATGGAATCACCGTAAGATAACGAGTACCAAAGCTGATCATGGTTGGGTTTCAGTCATACAGTGCAGACAGAGTCTATATTCTTACATTACCAAAAAAAAAAAAACTGGGTCACATGATCGTCTAACCAATAGAAGACATCGGTTATCATATTCTAATGATTATGGATTCGACGTTCAATCAGCATAAAGATTATAAACTCCCATCCAATTACCTTTTCTTTAAGTCAGCCTTTCCCAATCTTACCTTATCAACCCGGTTCTGGATGACCTATTTTTAGCTTCAGCATGTACACAGATATTGCTTCAGGCAACGTCCTTGTTGCTTAAGCTCATGTTTTGATTAGCAAATACCACAAAACAAAATAAGAAAATGTTATTTCCAATAGGCCATTTCATCGGAGTAGGGGATGAAATCACAACATTAGTAAATCTAATTGTCAGCATTAAGTTAATTTCGGGCAAATTCGTCTTGTAGTAAACAACTAAATACTATGTTTCAGTTTTATTGTTTGTCAGTTAAAAAAGCAGCACACCCTGGCTTCCAAATGAGATACCCAGCCCAACAACAGGGCTGTATTAAAAAGAAATCGCAAACTTTACAATATTGCCCTGCGGAGTGAGAAATTTGCATACGACATCAAGTGGGCAAAGAGCTAAATTAGGAGGGGAGACTCCCAATTAATGAACAGTGAAACCTTTTGGCAACGACAGAAATCAAAGACGCTAACTTCCAACTTCACATCGAACCATGGCAAAGATAACTTTGGCTTTCAAAACCTTCCATACTGTCAGTCATGGTAAAAATGATGTAACAGGTTAAAGACAAGTTTAGTATCGTTGCAACTACTATTCAACCCCGTTTACCCAAATATTGCACCACAGTAAGGAACCTGTCGTTTCGCTTTAGTGACAACGACATTGGCTACCACTAAACGCTGAATTCCCCGCTTAAAAAAAAAAACCGTGGATCCAGAGGTTCTGGAACTTTTGCAAGTTGATGGGAATTCTGTGCATGAACACCACCTCTCTCCGTCTGACTGTCCCTGTGTGCGACTTCACCGCCCAAAACCTGGCTAAGCTTATACATCTAGTTTCCAAACACGACAGGTAACTCCCGCACACGCTCTCCGGTTTAACTTTTCCGGCGAATGCTCCGGTACCTATTTATTCGCCCGCCCTAGAAAACACCCGAGGAACCAGTTCGGAGCTAGACCGAACCGACCGCGGAGCCCACGCCCCGCTGGGAGACTGAAGCTTTCCCCGGCTCCCGCCCAGCCCTGCCCAGCCCCGCCCCGCCGTGGCCCCGCCCAGCCCAGCGCGACCTATCCCGCTCCCGCCTCGCTGGGCCTCGCCGAACCTGCCCCGCCCACCCGGCCCACGTGACCGCCGCTGCGCTCCACCAATCAGCGGCCACCTCCGCCCGGAACTCCGGCGGCGGCCGTCGCTCCCCCCTTTCAAAAAGGCAGGTGCCGCCTCCGGTTCCCCCCGAACCCCGCCCCCTTCGCCCAACCTCTCCACCCCGCCGGCCCCGCCCACGCCGCCCCACTCGCCGCTCTCCCTCCACTACCCCGCCAAGGGGTGGGGTGGGGGAGGGGGTGCGCCCCGCCCTCCCTCCCGCCCGCCCGCCCGCCCGCCGGGCCTTGCCCCGCCCCAGCCGGGGCAGCGCGCTCGCCGCCGTCTTCTCGCGAGAGCCGAGCGTGTGTGTGTTTTTTTTCCCCCCTCCTCCTTCCACCACCCCCCCCACGCCTCACGCCGCGGCCGCCCGCCTCCCCCTCCCGTCCTCCCGCCCCCCCCCTCCCCCCAATCTCTCCACTCTCGGGCTCTCCTCCCTCCCTCCTCCCCCCTCCACCCTCTGGGCCGGATCTCGTCTCGCTGAGGCGGAGGAGGAGAAGGAGGAGGAGGAGGACGTTCGGCCTGCGCAGTGAGATGTTTGTCCGTCGCCGCCGCCGCCGCCATCGCGGAGGAGCGCGATAAAAGGGAGCCGAGCCGGGCGTGAGGGGGGGGACCCCGCGGAGCCGCCGCGCCAGCGCAGCCCCCTCGGCCGAGCCCGCGCCGCCGCCGCCGCCGCCGCCCCCGCCGCCGCCGCCGCCGCCGCCGCGGCCGCCCAGTGGCCGGCCCGCGCCTCAGCCCTGCCCGGGGGCCGCGCCGCCGTTCGTCGTCGCCGTCGCCGTCGCCAGCGCCAGCGTCGCCCCTCGCCTGGCCCGCCCGCCTTAAATGTGACACCGGCGCCTAGGGAGCGCCACCCGAAGCCGCCGCCGCCGGGGAGGGGGGACGAGCACCATGTCGAATCTGAGCAAAGGCACGGGCAGCCGGAAGGACACCAAGATGCGGATCCGGGCCTTTCCGGTGAGTCTCTCGGGGGGGGGGGAGGGAGGGTGCCGGGGACCCCCGGGGGACCCCCCCGGGGCGGGGCGGGGCGGGGAGAGGAGAGGAGGGGGCGGCCCGGCCGGGCGGCGCACGCGAGGAGGCCCGGGCTGAACTCCCACCACCACCGCCCCCAGCGCCAGCACCCCCCAACAGGCCGCGGCCTCGGCCTCCCCTCCCCTCCCCTCCCCTCCCCTCCCCCCCACGCCGCCGGCCGGCCGGCCGCGGGGCGCGAGCCTGCCCGGCAACGGGGCGCCGCGGGGCCCCCGCTCGGCCGCCCTCCCGGGCCGTTCCCCGGGGGCCTCGGCGCCGCCGCGCCCCCGCCCCGGAGCCGGCCCCTCGCGGCGGGCGAGCGATTGAGCGGGCGGGGCGCGGGGCGCGGGGGCCCCCCGACTCGACTCCGCGCGCGCGGCGCCTCTCCCCGCGTGCGGCGGGGCTGGGGAGGCCCCAAGCCCGTCGCCCCGCTCCCGCGGCCGGCTTCCCCGGGACGCCCGGCACCCCTGCGCGGGGAGGGATTGGGGACCGGTGTGCAACTTTGGGGGAGGAAAGGAAAAAAAAAAAAAGAAAAAATAGACCAGGACACTCCCCCCCCCCTCCACCACCGCCCCCCCTCCTCACTCCTGCATCCCGGTCCCTTCCTCACTCGCCTCCCCCACCCCTACCCCCGGGCAGTCCCGGGGGGTCTACACCCCCCCCCCCAGCTCCCTGCACCCCTCTGCCACCCCCGGCAGTGGACAGGGCTTCCCCGTCGTGGCCGTGCAGTGGCCGCCGCGCATCTCCCCCCCCCCCACCCCGTGTGCCCCAGGACTTTTAACAAACTTGGGGCGGAAGTGGCCACGCTGCCCGCGGACAGGGTCGCGGCGCGGCCAGGCCAGGTCAGGGGCACCCCGTGGGTCATCACCGAGTCTCCCCCCTCCCCCCAGCCAGGCAGCCCCCCAGCGTGTGGCTCGCCCCGCTCCGTAGGATGATGTATCTGGTGCGTGCACACGTTTTCCTTCCTCCGTAGAAACTTTTCCTCCCGGGGCTTTTGAGCCCTTGGCTGTGTCTCGGGTCTAACTTAGGGTGTCATAGCTGAGCCCCGGAGCCCAGTGGCGAGCCATCCGAAAGGTGCTTGCTGGCGCGGAGAAACTGGACATACTTGCTCGTGTCGCTCCACTAGCAGGTCTCTCTGCGTCTAGGTGGACCAACTAGCAGTTGAAAGGAAGGGTTTTTTTTTTTTTTTTTTTTTTTTTTTTTTTTTTTTTAAGCGTACAACGAGAGAAAGATCTGCATCCCATCCCCATCCTCATCCCGGCCCTCCTTTCTCAGAGTCTTAAAACATTGAAAGAAAAAGGGGGGGGGGGCATGAACTCATTTTTTTTTTTTTTAATTTTTTTGTAAAGGCGTTCTTTTGTCTTAAATATCAGGGTCTTGGTTGAGCAAGAAACTGTCCCGGAGAAGGCTCTCAGACATCCTTAGCTTTGAAGGAAGAGTACATGTGATGCAGCTACTTGTGATTCTCACTTTATAAAGAAAGTGAGAAACGTTGATCAAAGAGCACTGATGAAGTTCCCTTAGGATGATGATTTCCCTTATAATGGAGCTGCATTTGCCAGTTTTGTGCGGGATGGTAGTTTCCCCTCTTAACGCACCTGGGATCACTATTGTCAGAATTTCAGGGTATTCGGAATTTAGCAAGTTCTGGGGAAAAGTGCTTTTCTTTGAAGTGTTGAGTTCTAGTTTAGATGACTGTGATGGGGAGTCGCTTCATTTGACCTTAGCTCTACTATGTTGATCATGCTACGTTAATATTGTGAGTAACCAGTTCTAGGTTTAAGATGTAGCTTTGTGATCAGTTCTTTGAGCTCTTTAAGAGAGCTTTGACTGTTTCTACCTGTGATTCCTTCATCCAAGTGAATACTGAGTACTTACTGTATGCCAGGCACTGTTCTAGGGCACTGTTGAGCTATATATCATTACTGCTTAAAAAAACCAGGGTTCCTGTTTTTCTGAATCTTGCATTGTTGGGTGGAAGTGGTAGTGGGGATTTAATTGCTCCTTTAGCCGAATAATACAATATTAGGTGCTAGTTTGACACGTAGTAAAGGAACTGATATTTTAAAAATAGCATTCTGTTTATGAGCTAGTTTGGAGCCCTTTCTGTCATTTGTTAGGGTATCTATCTCGCTTTACCTAAAAAGCTTTAATAAAGTTTGTGACTGATGTTGGTTTTAAGTAGTTAATATCTGCTATTTTTTTAATTCTGTGGATTTTTATTTCATAAGAATGACATTCTTAAATAGTTCATTTTGAAAAGTACTATGCTTTTTAACGTGTAAACTTGTAAGTCTTGAGCCCTTTTTGACAATGGCTTTATGTCTGGTATGATATTTCACTTATTTGATAAGTGTTTGAATGTTTATAAGCCATCAAAAATTTCTTATCAGTTAGCAATCTTTTATATAACTAGTTTGCATGAATTGCTAGTTAGAAATATTGCAGTTATTTTCATAAAAATTGAGTATACCTGTGTACATACCCATACTTGGCTATATTGCTACTTTAGTTCAAAATTTAAAGTAGCTTCACCAAAGGTCTCAAGTGCTGATTTTAGATTCTGTTTCATAAAATTTATGGGTAAATATGTTTGAGGAACTCTTTTCTTTTCATTGCATTATGAATGTGATGAGTACTCCTTAGAGGATATTTTAAGCTAGGCAAGCTTGTAGTTCAGATAGAATCCCATAAGTAAACTGAGGATCTTTTTAAATATTTGGGGTATGTATTTAGGTGTGCCTTTATTATTGTTCATTTGCAACAGGAGAAATTATGGCTTACCTCACCACAGTTTAATACACCATTTTGTATTTTAATTGGACCTTTTCATAAGATTTCCAGGGCTATATATTTTTTTAAGATGGAAAACAATTAGAAACTTTTTGTGTTTATAAATTTTTCATGAAGGAAAAGTATCTCAGTAATGTCACGTACTGTGCACAAAGTGTCATTTCACTTTTAAGTGTTTTTTTTTTTTTCCTTTTGGTGTGTGTGTGTGTGTGTGTGTGTGTGTGTGTGTGTACTCCAAGAAACAACATGGGCCACGAAGCTTTTTAAAGAGGCTGTAGCTGTGTTTAAATCTTGGGAGCTAAGATTTGAACCAAATCATGCTGCCTCCAAAGTCCCTGCTCTTCTTTCCTTGCTGTTGGAATGAATATGTCTCCTGAACTTTTGTTCCACCCTGTAGGTTTGGTTGTCAAGGCGAACCTTCTTGTTCTTATTGTGAAAGGCCTTTCCTCATCACCTTTATTATTCAGGATTTTGTCCACATGGGTTTAAAAAGTGATTAGATGGAGGGGATAATGTTTGAATGAAAGTGCTAGTATCTCTGATTTTGCTCTCTTGGCCTAGCAACTTCGGAATATGAGACATTATGAAAGTGGTTGTGTTTAAGAATAATCTGAAAGTGACTTCAATTAGTAGGTAGAATCTATTAATTGTCATGTTGTCATGTTGTCATGTTCTCTTCAAAATTCTAGGTGAACTTTACAGAACACCTGTTTGAGGACAATGATTGATGTGGAGGTTATCAGACGGAATCCACCACCATTTTTTTTTTCTTTTTGGGTCACACCCTGCAATGTACAGGGGTTACCTCTGGCTCTGCACTCAGGAATTACTCCTGACGGTGCTTAGGGGACCATATGGGATGCTGGGAATCGAACCCAGGTCAGCCGCATGCAAGGCAAACACCCTACCTGCTGTGCTATCACTCCAGCCCCAGAAAGCATCAAGTTTTAAGATCATTTCTGATGTTCTTACTAACACAAGAGTTTAGCAACAAATAGGACCAGTTGATGTCACTGTTTTTTTAGTTCCCTTGCTACCAGATTTGGAGGGATCTCTTTGAATTTCATACTAGGTTTCTTGTAGAGAAAGTGTTGCTTCCAACTACCTGCACAAGACATACAGAAAAGCTGAATAATAGTCTTGCAAATCATACAGAGTGAGGAATTAACTTTTAAATTTGTTTTTCATTCTCTAGTATTTTCTTGTAAACAGTGGAGTAAGCGGTAACCAATTCATCAAAGTATTGCTTGCATTTAGACTGATTATTCATTATGATAATACAAGGACAGATAATTGCGTTGTAGCTATCAGTACCTCTCTTTAAAAATGAAAAAGAAGCATAAGGTAAGGTAAGGTAAAGGCCCTCCCGTTGATCGTCGATTTGCTCGAGCGGGCCCAGTAACGTCTCCATTGGAGACTTTGTTGTTACTGTGTCTGGCATATCGAATACTCTCGGTAGCTTGCCGGGCTCTCCGAGAGGGGCGGAGGAATCGAACTCGGGTCGGCCATGTTGGCCACGTGTAAGGCGAACGCCCTACCCGCTGTGCTACTGTTTTCCCTGATCTTGCTAGATTGCAGTTCAGAAGATGTTAGAAAATAATTCATAACAATTATTAATTCAAAACTATTCTAGTTACATAGGATACAGTGTAAGAATTTGCTCTTTCAAATAATTTGTCGTGGTCAATTTATTTAAATAAAATGGGGAAGCTTTATATGAATATTACTGATAAAATTTTAAGTAGTAACAGATTCTCTAGTTCAGGAAGTTTATATAATTCAGACTCAGACTAACTCTTATTTTTGAGACCGGAATGATAACGTTTTGTTATTTTTTTATTCCCCCTCCAGACCTCCCCATGACCAGGGATTGAACCCAGCATCTTATATTTATAAAGCATGGCCTGCTGTTGGCTGTTATTTTCATTCTAGATTATCTGGATGTTCTTTATTAAAAAAAAATTACTGCGCAGGGAATTGCAGAGAAATACAGTACTCGAGTTTTCTGGTGGGGTATTTTTTGGTGGGGGGGAGGTTAGACTTGCATTCTGTTATGCTTAGTGCTTATTCCTGGCAGGGGTGGGGGTGGGGGCCGCATATGGTGCATGCTAATTGGGTGGCTGCATCAAGGCCTGCCCCTCACTCTAATTTGTCTG